TGATTTTTTTTTGTGTGAAAAACATTTCACTAAATAAAAATACTCAAAACTTATCCAGGATAATAATAATTAATGGAAATAAAAATCATATAAAAAGAAGAAAAAGAGAATGTGTAGGAAGAAGAAAAAAATAGATACAAAATAAAAAGAAATACAGCATTTAGCACTATAAGAATATTTGATAATTTCTATTTTTACTAAAATATGATCCATTCAAAAAGAAACAACATGGAAAATAGGAAGACACACACATACATAGTAACAAGTAAGATAAATATTTTCAACTTTTCAGGAAAATAAAAATGTAGAAAACAATTTTGAAAGGAAAACAACTTGTTATTACCGTTTGATGCATCTTATTATGATAAAAATTAAGAACTAAAGTGGTAAAAAATCTTGAATTTTGAAGAAAATTATGATGTCTACGATAAAGAAGAATTGATTGTTTGTATGTGTATGTGTGTTTATATATCTATGTGTTTTTGTGTGTATGTGTATCTGTGTAACATTCTTATTTGTTTGAAAAAAGCTTGAGATTCATATCATCTCGTGAAGCTTTCTAGCTTTTGAAAGAGACTCTATTGTGTTTTAAAATGAGTCAGCGATCACTAAATGATCACTTGAGAGTAAACAAGATTGGCAAGTACGTTCGAAAGAGTACTTCCCACCAAGCTCACGTTAACGCTAAAGCCAGACCTCATCCGCCGCAGCCTCAACCGCCACTGGAAACGCAAGTGTACATCGTACACAAGGACGAATTCAAACGCATTGTTCAGCAATTAACGGGTAATCAATTATCTGAGCCTTCACCTCAAAACCTTCCGCAGCCCCAAAGGATTACACCAGAGCCAATAAACTGGGCCTCATCGGTTCCTCCCAAAGCCACCGCGGTTGAAGAGTATCCTCATGCGTTACTTGAAAGCTTACTTGAAGCCTCATCAGCATCTAATGGTGATCAACTCCAACAAGCATTTGGTGGGTATCAATCTCATATGCTGCCTCAACCTCAAGTTCCTACACAATCCATGCCATATTCCAATGGTCGTGAACCGGTCATGACCACTACTTTGAGCTCTCCTTGGCTCGATGCCTTGCCTCAACAATTGGACGGTGCTTACTCATTACAACCCGCATATGAGATTGATGCTCAACAAATGGCCGGTGCTTACTGCAACCCGCATATGAGATTGATGCTCAACAAATGGGCGGTGCTTACTCATTGCAACCCGCATATGAGATTGGTACTCAACCAATGGGCGGTGCTTACTCACAGCAACCCGCATATGAGATTGGTACTCAACAAATGGGCGGTGCTTACTCATTGCAACCCTCATATGGGATTGATACTCAACAAATGGGCGGTGCTTACTCATCGCAACCCCGCATATGAGATTGATACTGAACAAATGGACGGTGCTTACTCAGTGCAACCCGCATATGAGATTGATACTCAAGAAACGAATGGTTCTTACTCATTGGAACCAACAACAGTTGGGTATCCTCAACCACTGACTCCAAACCTCACATTTTCGTCTATGGCTCAACCTGAAGATTTCGATCTTTCTTCGATCTAGGGCAGCTCTTTTCTGCATCTCTTGTACTCATGTTCCTTTTTAGCTATTTTCTACATCTCTTGTACTCATGTTCCTTTTTAGCTATTTTCTACATCTCTTGTACTCATGTTTAGTTATTTTCTACATCTCTTGCATCATTTAGCTCTTTTCTACATCTCTTGTACTCATGTTCATTTAATTCTTCTCTACATCTCTTGTACTCATGTTCATGTTTAGCTCGTTTCTACATCTCTTGTACTCATGTTTAGTTCTTCTCTACATCTCTTGCATCGTTTAGCTCTTTTCTACATCTCTTTTACTCATGTTCATTTAGCTCTTTTCTACATCTCTTGTACTCATGTTCGCAGTTACTATCAGTTTTTTCCTCCATATACCCTCAGAGGTTTCAGGACATCCATAACTCAAAAACAAGAAAGGAGCATGTTAGACTAAGAGAGGTTTAGAGAGATTTTATTAGCTTTATGTTTGAACGATGATGATGAAATGAATATCTGTTTCGTTTATCATTAAATTAATCAACTCTTATTTTCTCCACTGTTTAATTGACGAGAATATGCTCTGGCTTGGCTCGGATCCTTCCTTATTTCTCGGGATTTGGTCGAGCTGGAGCTCGACCTCGTCGAACGGAACGTTTTGTTGTTTAGAATTGGATCGTTGAGAGTGAATGGGCCTGGGCCATAGTAACAAAGCCTAGTCAATTTGGCTTAGCTTGGATCTGCCTGTTGGGCTTGAGTGGGCCAGATTTAAGGTGCTAAATCTAGCTCCAACAGTTATATTTGCTGATTTCCAAATTAAAAACAAAAAAATATGTCATTAATAATGAGATATAAAAAGTGTATACATTGATTTTATATTTCTATTCAGATGGTACATGGTATTTAATTTTTAAAGTAATTTATAATAACTAAAAACATAATATAAGATTGTCAATATTACAACATAATATTATTTAAAAACCATTTGAAATCGATTTCATTATGTTATATAATTTAAAAAATAATTATTATTTTATCTCGTACATGGTATGAATTATTACCTAGTCTTTTAAAAAAAAATAAACAAAATAATAATAACAAAGAAACCAAATCTCTAGTATGAAAACTATATGCAACTCATAAACTAGTAATAACATATGAACTAAACTATCTTTTATAAAATTAACATACAAAAATCTAAAAAAGATATCGATGGAAAAGAATGAGTTAGAGAGGATAAACTATTAATAAAAAAATATATAGTGTTTTATTTTATTTTTATTGATATTTTAATAATAGTATTTTAATTTTTAGTAAATTATATACATAATGGCAAGGAATATAGATTATATTTTTGATAGTTTAGTTTTGTAATATTGAGTTTTTATTTTATTTTGGTAGTTTAAATTTTTGACACAGTTTTTATTTATTTATTTTGTGAGTTAAACTTTTTAATTTTACTTTTCTGTTGTGATATGATAATTTCTGTTTTATGTGTATTTTTTAATATATTTTAATTATTAGCTATATTTAATATTTTTTTATTTGATAAAATATTAATATAGACTAATATATAGACATTTTTAATGGCCTATACCATTAACTTTGATATAGTACAGATTTATTTTCTCTCACAAATTTAATTTATAACCATTAGAATATGCTTTTTGGCAAACGCAATGATAGCATTTCCTCCAAATTTTATTTTCACACTTTCTCACAATTCTAAATTATCCCAAAGAGCATAAATTATACTTTTGTTACTTTAGTTTTTGTAGTATTGAGTTTTTATTTTATTTTGATAGTTTTAAATTTTGATACAATTTTTTTAACTATTTTGTGAGTTAAATATTTTAATTTTAATTTTCCATTATGATATGATATTTTTTTTTGTATGTATTTTAATATATTTTAATTTAATTATATTTAATATTTTTGTGTTTGATAAAAATAATAATATAAACCAATTAAATTGAATATTTTAATAATATATAGACATTCTTACTAGTCTATACCATTAGCTTTGATATAGTACATATTTATTTTCTCTCTTTGTTTTTTAACAGCTACAAGGTTACAAATTTATTTTCTCTCTTAAATTTATATTATATATAATTGTAAGGAGCATAACTGTTAGAATATGTTTTTTTGGCAAACCCAATGATAATATTTTCTCCCAAATTTATTTCGAATCATGATCTCATATGCCCCTCTCTCTCAAATTATAATCTCTTAAATCTCTCGATAATCTACATACCGCTCTTATCAATGAATTACCGATTTTACTCTTAATGAATTTAATCAGAATTTTTTTTTTTTTTTTTTTAAAATCTCACTCTCTCTCCTTCACCCATAACCCACAACCCTCACTCTCCTCTCCCCTCCTCCATTGTTGCAGTCGCCGTCGCTGTCGCCGATCTGGTTTTCCCGAGCTCGTTTCTCCGCCGTCGCCATTCTGGAGCCGTCAGAAGCTGTAGTGAACGCTCAAATGCTTTTTAAATTGAGGTAAACTATATGTTTAAAGATTTGAAAATCAAATGCTCAACTCAAATGCTTCTTTGGATATAGTGTGTTTTAGCATGATTTATGGGTTGATTATGACTATAAATTGATTATAAATAGATTGTATGGGTTGAATTGAGTTGAATCGTATTCAATTGTAGATTAGAATGAATTGAACATGAAATCCAATCTGAGTTCATGCGAAGAACTACTGGGTAGAACTGGGTATTACTGATAAATGTATAACTATGGATAACTAGTCACTAGTATCACTGATTAATAAAGTATAACTTGGTACATCTAGGTATTATTGAGTGTATAATTGTGGATAACTAATCATTACTATCACTGATTAGTATGTATAACTTTGTACAACTGGGTATTACTGACTGTATAAATGTGGATAACTAGTCACTAGTATCACTTATTAGGAAAGTATAACTTGGTACAACTGAGTATTACTTATTGTATAATTGTGGATAACTAGTATTACTATCACTGATTAATAAAGTATAACTTAGTACAACTAGGTATTACTTATTGTATAACCGTGGATAACTAGTATTACTGATTGAGTTTTTGTATTGTTTTGTCGGGATACAATGAGTAACAACATCATCATACATTTTAAATGCAAAAGTCGGCAATATAGTATATTATTGAAGACACCAACGACTGAGGTAATTTGGCGTTGATAGAAGCTAGAATATGCAAAAAGTTTTATTTATTGTTCAAATACACTCTAAAAACTCTCAATGAACATGTTCTTATGGCTATATAGAAAGATTAAGAAAGCAAACAACATAGAGATTAAGTGAATAAATCACAATAATAGTGATGATTTGTTTTTTGTTTTTGTTTTGTTTCAGGTACTTACTTTCAGTTGTAAAGCAATACCAGAATTCAAGAACCTGGTTCAATTAACGATCGAGAGTAATCCGGAAATAGGATGGGAATCATTGCCAGGTCTGCTCAAGAATTGTCCAAAACCAAAAACCCTTGTTATGAAGGTAGAAAAGAAAACACATTAAAGCGTATCTTTGTTTATTAGTTACAACTAAAACTTTGAAACATTTTCCTTTATTCTTCTTCAGGGTCCCGGCCACAGGTATAACGAAGGATGTGGGAATGCTGTAACTGCCTGGAGAATGCTCCTTCTTGTCTTTCATCTTCTCCTGTGAAGGTGCTAAAGATATTTAGTACGTTTGGACACATCTATGACAACAGCGAGATGGACGTAGATCAGAGCAAGAATTTCTTGGAGAAAATGCCGTGTCTTGAACAGTTAGTAGTAGACTACAACACATTTTATGACAATGCGGTGTTTGAATCATTCAAGAAGCTTGAGAAGATTCCAAGAATAGCTTCACCAAAGTGTAAGATCTAAGTAATCTCTGAGAATCTTTGTTTCTCATCTACTCTGCCTTCTTCTTTTCCGAAGAAATGGTCTACTCTTCCTGAAGAAAAATATGCTTGGTTTCTAAGCTAGACTCAAAGGCAATGAAGTTTGCTCTATTACTGTCCCTTATACTTTTTTTATCATCTAAGATTATGACTGGTGTTTGTATGCTTTTGCCTTTCATTTAAGACTCATTATGTGTTAAATATTGCTTCTTGGTTAAGGACTAAGTCTAAGGATGGCTAAATAAAAGAAATTTGATATTTGATACATATTGATATTGTGATTGGGAACAAGAATCAACATTTCATATATTTATCTTTTTTTTTTCTCTCTATATTTGTGTTTTCTTTCTCAGAATGATAATGAATTATGTTGTATCCCCAAGTTCCTTCAGAGTTTCCTTATCTTCAAAATATTACGATTCTATTGTCTTGACTAGCAAAGAAATAGAAATGAAAATGTAATATATCTTCATAGTTTACTTAACCATTGATTTCTCTAGAAACAAAATACATGGAACAATTTCTGAATCCATTAGTTTATTGAACGAATTTCATGTTCTCAATTTGTCAAGAAATGCTTTTCAGGTCTGATCTTAGACACCAATCCGTGTTTTTGAGGCAGCTCGGCCTAATGAATATTTTTTTTCCTTTTTAATATAGAAGTTTCAAAAATTCTGAATCCTTTAATATAAAAATTTAAAATTTTTAAGCTTAATCTAATAATTCTTTCAGTAAAAAATATTAACTGAAATTTGAAATATAATTAATTGAGTTTGTACTTTTTAATATAGATCCTTTTTTACGCTATATTGTTTTTAAAATAAACTTGTCTGTGAACGAGTGCACCTCTCCACTTATAGGATACGTAATGCAGAACTCGGGTGAATCTCTTAAGTAAAAAAAAAGAAACAAAAATTGATGTGACATATAAAAAAATTAGAATAGGTTTTTGGCGAATCGTCTTCTTCTTCTCCTCTCATCTCCGATTTTTTCCTCTTCTCGATTTCTCGATTCATGCCTTGGCCATTCCCTCCATCGTCGGTTTCTCTATCGCTGGCGGGTGCGTGTAAGAAATGAATTTGATTTTGTTTTTTAGTTTTTCCCCTTAAATTTGTCCTTTCATTACTCTTTTGCTCAATTGATGGAACCGGGAGAGGTTTGGGTGTTGTTTGTGAGCTCAGGAAAAGAGAATTGGTTTTGAAAGTCCCGAGAAACACTTTGTTGACCACATAAACCATGGTCGCGAAAGATCAGACATTGTGGGATGCTGTTATTGTCCACTGATCGCTTTCTTCGACACATGTTCTTCTTTATCTGCATGATGGTGTTCTGTTTTTGTATCTGAAAAATTTTCCATAACCAAAGTCTTTGAAATTACAGATACTGAGTTTAAGCTTATTGTACGAAATGAGCAAAGGGAATAGCACTTTCTGGAACCAATACTTGGTGCATTTACCTTGTGACTATGATCTCTTGGCCACATTTGAGGAATTTGAGAAGCAAGCTTTACAAGTTCTGTCACTCTACTGCATTTTGTGTTTCATTTTTCTTTTCAATAGGTCAGATCTCATGTTATAGATTCAGATCATGTCCCTTTCTCTGTCTATTTTTTTCCCATCTGGTGATGTCAACTCTAACAATGAATTCTGTAATCATGTCCTTAGGTTGAAGATACAAATAGATGAGCCGACTTGAGGAAGGTCTATTATCGACCTTGTCCATTTCGTGTGAGTATTCGGTTCAAATCTTTCTTCTCCATCTATTATTGAAAAGTAAAGGAAATTTTTTTTTGAAAAGACATCATATAATATATAAAAGTTGATGGCATAATGCATTGAGCGCGTCCACATGGGATTAAAAAACTTTATCTGATTGGTCCACATCAACATATTCATTAAATAAAAAATGTTAAGTATGATTAGGACGAAAAAACTTGATTTAATTGGTCCACATCAGCTTTTAAATCAAACCAAAAATTATTAAGTATAATTAAAACATTAAAAGTTAATTTAACAAATTATGTTCACCAAAAAAAGTAAATTCAATCTGATTGATCCAAACCAACATATTTATTAAATCAGAAAATGTTAATATGGTTTAAAAATTTAAAAGTTAAATAAAAAAATTAACAATTAACAATACATGTATAAAAAAAGGTAACCATTATCAATTATAAATTTAAAAAAATCTACAACAACTCGATGTAACAATTAAAACAATGAAAACTGAATAAAAATATAACATAAAACTCTTGGAAGATATGATGGAGAAGGAAAAAATGGTTTTGCATGATCATTACAGCTCTTAACAAAATTAAATGTGAATAACATGAATCATGGATTATATATACAGTGGTACACAACATCAATAAGAATTTTAATAAAAAACTAAATATTTGAACACATAAACCTTCAAGAAAAAAAGAACTATAGAAATTCTATAGAAAACAGAAAATAATACCAAAATTTTAGCAAGATTATATTTCTCTAAACCAAATGTATATGTACGTCAAAGTTGGATAATTCGATAGGTGTCATTGTTATTATTTTACCTAATAGTTTTCTAAAATTTATAAATAAAAATAGGATAAATTACACATTATATATTAAATTCTCTTATATAAATAAAAATTTCTATAAATATATATAATTTTAATAATTTTAAAGATAGTAGCTAAAAAAATAAACCAAAATATTAATACAGACTCGGGCGTAGCGCGAGTTATATACCTGGTGTCTAATAATTGTGGGGATAAAAAGTAACAAGACATCAACATATCAAATTACATTACATGTTATGTACTTCTACTATGTTTAATAATGATCATCAACAGGTCTGGTCCGAAACCCGTAAAGCCTGCATATATTTAAGCGCAGCTCGGCCCGGCCCGATAATATATCAGGCCTATATTTTGAAGCTCGGATGGCCCTACAGGGTTATAAGTCTTTTTCGGGCTTTTTAGGAAAATAAAATAAACTAAAATGTAGTTATTAGAATTAAATCCTAATTTAAAAAATCATAAATATAGTTTTATCAAATCTGAAAGCAAAATTTTAATTTATAAATTTATATAAATTCTAATATCAAATATAATTAAATAAATAAGTAATGTAAATAGTAGAAATGGTACAATCGAGATGAAAATCTTCAGGTTGAAGGTAGAAGTGCTTTTTAAAACTAGTTTAGTTTGAGCATTGAGGTTTATATAAAGGCACACAACTAAAAATTAAGGTTTTATATTAATAAAGAGTATTATAAAAAAATTAATAACTCTAATTTTTAAAAAGTGTAAAGATAATTTATTAATAAAAATTTTAAATCAAATTATAATATAAAAAATACTGGGTTTTTCCCAAATGGGCTTAGCCCAAAAGACCCAATTTTTTGGGCTTTTATACCAAAGCCCAAACCCGATATTTTTCAGGACCGGGCCGGGCTTCGAGCTTTGACCCAAATTAACATCCCTTGCTATAACTCATGTTTTCAAACTTAACTCGTAGGTGAGACATAAATGAACTCACTTACTTTCACTAAATTAAAATATCTAACCATGTCTTATCAAATTAAATTTTTAAGTTTCTCATTTACAGAGACAAAACCATTTCTTCTATTTATACCGCATCGTATGGGTTACAGTGCTCAAAACTATTTCTTGTTTTCTTTCCTCCTCGCTTAGTAAATGGCTTGTAACACTCCTTTTAGTTACTCTCAAACATTCACGGACCTATTGAACTAAACAAATACACCACAAACACCACTCTTTAGTGCCCAAATAAATTCATCACAAACACCACAATTTAGTACCCAAAATTGTAATCCTGGAGCACCACTCTTTAGTACCCAAAACGTTGATGCTCAACATGTAGAGGAGAACTCACCCGAGGCTAGAAGAGAATCTAGATGTAGGTCTGTCCCTGGATATGGAGTGCTGCTGAGTGCTTGGTTAAACACCAGCAAGGATGCCATCGTTGGGAATGACCAGTAAGCATGGGCTTTTTGGAAGCAAGTCCCGCAGTGAAGGACCTTCCTAAACACGAGTGGAATACTTGTAAGTAGAGGTGGGGGGAAATCAACGAGAGTGTCCTAAGGTTTTGTGGATGCTACAAGCATGCTCAACGTCAAAGCAGTATCGGCCAGTCAAAGGATGATATCTTCGAGATAGCGTACAACTTATACTTCCAGGACCAGATGACTAACTTCACCCTTGAGCATGCATGGAGATTACTTCGCCACGATCAAAGTGGTTTAGTCTGATTAGGCAGAAAGGTAAATCAAACTCCATATCCGATCGATCGATCCAAAGTTCAAGAATTTCCCAATATAAATTATGGAACTACTCATACATGGAAGAAGAAAAAAAGCGAAGAGATGAAGAGAATTTCATAATAAATAAAATAAAAATCAACTGGGGTTCAGAAATCTTCTCAGAAATGTAGAGTAAAAAGACCGTCTCTCCAAAACTCACAAATTGCAAAAAGCTAAAATCTGAATAGAAAATAAAAGGTAGCATAAACAATGGCTGAAAAACAAGTATATATTGTCCAGACACAAATTGCTTGAGAACTTGTCGAAAGCCAAGTTGGAATAGGATAAACCGAATTTTTTTTTATTTTCTGCTTGACCAAACCGGTTGGTTAAGGCTCCAGATCGATCGATCCCGACATGGATCGATCGAACTAAATCTTCTCGGGCGATTGATGGCTTCTCCGACTGATCGATCTCCCCTGTATGATCGATCTATAATGTTACGGGTAATCGGATCTATCGAACTAATTTCTCTCAGGAAATTCTTGAACTTTGAATCGATCGATCAGATATGGATCGATCGATCAGATATGGATCGATCAATCTAAAGGGTCCCTATCTCTTCGCTGCCTTTGGATCGATTGGTCCAATAAAGGACCGATCGATCAGCACTCTGGAAAAGACCAGATTTGCTCCTTTTTCTTCCATTCTTCATTTCCAAGGCCTTAGATCCCATCC